TTTATGGTAAAATTTTGGAAAATGGGCGTGGCACCGCCCACTTATGATCACATATAAGTATATCGGTAACCGTTCTACCAATGTGTACAAAACTCGGTGTGGTTATTGTGCTTGCCAAATATAAGCAAAACCTTGAAAATTATTGAAATCTGACTAAAATTACGGCCGCTTTTCATATAACGGTAAATTTCAGAAATGCTTGAAACTTCAATATTTCGAAATTGAAGGACGCTAATTTACTTAAAATTGATACACCCCGGCTTACCATCTAGCAGAAGGTTTCGGAAAGAAATCTGAAAAAACATATATTTAATACTTGCGCCGGGTATTTAATGTTCGGCTCCGCCCGAACTTAGACTTTCTTACTTGTTTTTTTTAAGTATGTTACCGCATTACGTTGGACCACGTCAACCGATTTTGATAATTCTTTTTTCATCGCAAAGGTAGTGTCTCAGAGATGGTTTTAAGTCGGTAGAACTACCGAACATTGCGGCTATTTCTACTTTTGCATGATTGCCGACAAAGCAAAATATTAATACTTAGCAATAGAGAAGCAGATCCACATTAACTTCAATCATATGTACCATCAGCTTATAAATAGATATGTATATGCCATGACGTGTATCACTGCTACGATTCATTTTTATTTCCTTTCATACTGCAGAAATTTGTATTAGTTTTTATATTAGCCTAGGTCCCCGTATTTGTCTATTTCTTCGTGCTCGTCTTCGCATTATCTCCGTCTTGGGATTTGTGCATAAGTTAGCTCAGAAACCCTCAGGAAACCCTCCTAAATATAGTTGAAAAATGAACAAATCTCCTGCGTCTGATATTGTGATACCTACATATTTCATGTGCCTGATGAATTAAGTTAAACTTTATTTTTTAAATAAATGCGTGGCAACGCACCTAAATACAGTTCAGAAATAAAGCCTTTTTAACTCAATTTCATTTGATACCCATATTTTTAATAATTGCTTTAACTTATTAAATAATTTGAGTTAATCTGTTTAAACAGGTGGCACCCCTCTTTAATATTATTAATATTCACACTAAGGACATCTTACCACCTTCGTTTTACGTCATGTTTTGATATTTCATTTAATTTTAAAACAGGTGGTAACCCTATACAAAATATTTAACCCCAAAACCTTGTTAAACCTTTTTCGACTGGCACACATATTGCGATACATATTTAAATTGTATATCTAATTCCCTTAATTCGAGTTGAACTCAATTTCTAAAACATGTGGCAACCCTCTTAAATAAAGTTAAGAAAACAACAGTTTTAACCAATGTCAATTTATGCCCATACTTAAATAATTAATTTGACTGATTAAATAATTTTAGTTTAACTTTTTAAACAAGTGGAAACCCTCTTTAATTGTATAATGCTGAAACTAAATGTTTCTTAGTACTCCTTTGTTTGACGCCAATTTTCAATATTTCACATCATTTAATTTAATTCGACTTCTAAATAGATGGCAATCAAATTATTTTTGAACTGTAACCTCGTTAAACCTTTTTCGTCTGACACTTGTATTGTGATACATATTTAAATTATCTAATACTCTTAATTCAATTTGAATTTAATTATAAACTCAGGTGGCAACACTCCTATAAGCAGTTTGGAAATAAAGTTTCGTCAAAGCAATTTTAATTTATATTCATATTGAAGTAATTTATTTAGCCTATTGCTTATATTGGATCCAACTTTGTAACAAGGTGGCAACCCTCTGCAAAATATTTTCAAACCACAACCTCTTTCCTCTGGCATCCATATCAGGATATACATTTCAATTTTCTGTTCAAATTGACCCCAAAATAGGCCAATGTTTACCGTTATTTCTACGACCGACACCGAAATAGGGACTTGCAAAAATGAATCTGTCAATAGATTTGCAATTTTGTCTTTGAAACGCCATACTTTTCCTTGCAATTGCTTCACTAGTTCTCGTGCAATAAGCGTTTTCGTGGAGCTCTAAAAATTACAACTACAACATTTAAGCATAGCCTTCATATCGAAGCGTAAGACGTATTCTACATCAAAATCATCAGATCTTCCTAATTTGACTGCACTAAATGGGGAGTAGGACCCCCGGAATATGCTGGTAGGAGTACTTAAGTGGAATCAAATCGCTTTAGAACGAATGTTCTTAATTGCAAAATTGAATTGTAATAATAAATTTCAATTGGCCTTTTCTAACGGATGTACATATGTATGTATGTAATTATGTCAGCATGTAACTAGCTCAACAGCATCTAAAACTGGACCAAGGACATTTTCAGATTTTATTTTCATAATTTGCATACTTAGTTATACACATATTTATAATTTATATAAAATCTAATAATTTATTTTAAGCTCCTTTCGCAAAAAGATTACATATGTATGTATGTATGTATGTACATAAATACATGCATTTGCATTCCCGAGGATATTTTTTGGGGGGTTTCACATGGCCATTAACAAAATTACTATGAAACTATGTACATGTGTGTAGTTTCAGTTTACATACATATCGACGCTTATAATTAGATAATTTTTAAATATACTGTCTTATTTTTTAATCGAATAATTTCTACGATTTATTGAAGTTTTTACGAAAAATTAAAACTTTGTGTCTTTCTCAAACAAATAAACTGTTAAAATGGAATTATTGNTACATACATATCGACGCTTATAATTAGATAATTTTTAAATATACTGTCTTATTTTTTAATCGNAACATACATATCGACGCTTATAATTAGATAATTTTTAAATATACTGTCTTATTTTTTTATCGAATAATTTCTACGATTTATTGAAGTTTTTACGAAAAATGAAAACTTTGTGTCTTTCTCAAACAAATAAACTGTTAAAATGGAATTATTGTCTTGAAATAAATCTACTTTATTTGAGAATATATTCTCTGAAAATCAGCTAAGTACCATAGGGCTCCGATACCACCTACGCAGTGCAGCTACACACATAGCTTATATGTATATAAATCACACATTTCATTAAAAACGGTCAAGAAGAAAAAAATGTTGAACGCATTCACAGCGAGAGTTTACTTAAATAGATAAATATTTGAAAAGGGATTTAACCCCCACGCACCCTCTTCACTTGCGCCTGTAAATATGTATGCATACACATATCGTCGTTTAAAGTACAAAACCGCGTATCGTCATTCTGCAAAACCACGAAACTGACATTTGCTGTCAAAAATTGGATTTGCTCACACAAGCCAAGAAGGCTTAATCCTTATCCATTCGTCCTGATATATACTAGCCAGAAATGCGATTGCTTTATTAAAAAAAGAGTCATTTTTAAATATCAGTGTTTTCACTCTCTAGAAAATAATTTATGCAACCTCACATACGCGGTTTTGCATTTTGTTGGTACCCGGTTTTGTACTTTAAACGACGATATGTATGTATGTATGTCGTTAAATTCCACATCATTCATAAGCAGCGTTGCCGCTTTGATAATTTTTAACCAAAATTGGTAATTTTTTTTCTTTATTTATCAAGTTCGGTAATTTGGTAATTTATTTTTATAGAAATACCAAGTAATCCTGAAAATTTCGCAAGGCGAAAGTGTTGCGCCGTTCATTGGCTACTAAAATGGTGTAATGTTTTACAAACTGCTTGAAAGTGGCTATTGCTAAGTACATCCACCGAGTCCTTTCCTGGAAGGTTTTGGGTGGTCCTACCTTTCCCTGTCAGTTCGTCAGCTTTGCAATTACCATCGGTTTTCCGGTGCACCCGGCAACCATATATATGAGTATAATTCTTCATAAATATGTATGTTCTCGTTCAAAAAGCTACGGCATTCAGCGAAGGACTTTACTCTGTCAATTTATGTGTGAGTCGAAAGCTTTCCCACAAGCGTCTTGTCACTTGTTTACATACAGTGGTCGAAAATATTATATAATAATAATAATAGATTGGCGATTTGATATTTTGACAAGTTTGAACATATTATTTGCATTTGTAATTAATTTTATTTTTTTAATATTGTTCTTTCTTTAACAGAACCCACAAAAATTCAAATTTAAAACTTTGTTATATATTTAAAAAAATTCAACAAACTTTCCTAAAAATTTTAGGTGAATGGAGCTCTGATTGCCTGAAAAGCTTGGTATCTTCGGATATACATATGTACAGATATATCGAGCCCTAACCGCCACATAAGCGTAACGTAACGTAAGCGACATTTTTTCGAAATTTTCTTTTTGATGCAGAATAATCTTAGAGCATCTAGATGCTCACTCACGTTATCAAGCCCTAGGATGTGTATGTTTGCACAGTTCTGCACATGAAATAAGTTTGGTAATTTATTGTTGAATCTGGTAACTTTTTACGATGATTTTGGTAAAAAATATATAAATTTTGTGGCAACACTGTTCATGAGCTTCTTTATTTCTGCTATCTAAGCTGAACCATAGAACATACATATATGCTATGCGCAAGCAAGTGTATCTTTAGATATTTATTTTTATTTGCGATAATTTTAATTGCTAAATGCTAAACGCCAAATATGAATGGTGTAATCCTATAAACATATGTATGTATGTACATATATGTGGTCGTATACTGAAAGCTAGCGCGTAACATTTTCTTTATTTAAAAGCGTGAATGCGCGCAAAAAAAGTAATAATAAGGATATTTAAAAGCAAATGAATATAAAAGCTTTGGCTGTAAAAAAAGTGTGTTAGCATAGGAAATGTGTATGTGTGTAATACAGGAAGTTGCAAGTTGCGCGGCGTTCACTTTTCCTAGAATCCGTTAAAAAATAAATAAATTCTTTATGTATTAGTTAGTCATACTTTTTATACCCGAGCCCACTTGTGCACAAGGGTATTATAACTTGGTTCACAAAACGGTTGCTTGTAACAGGCAAAACGAATCGAGATAGATATAGACAAATGCATACATAAATGATCAGAATGGAAAGAGAAAACGATTAAGCGGTAACTGTCTGTCCGTCCGTACCACTACACCACAGCGGCCTCAGTGTGCCACATGTCATATAACGGTAATTTAGAGAAATATGAAATCTTCGATAAATCAGTAAATTATAAAGGTAATTTATTCAAAATTTATGCTTGCAATAATTCTTTACCAAGAACTACGTTTATGATAAAATTTTGGAAAATGGGCGTGGCACCGCCCACTTATGATCACATATGTGTATCTCGGTAACCGTTCTATCAATTTGTACCAAACGGTACGGTAAGGTTATTGTGCTTGCCACATAAAAGCAAAACGTTGAAAATTATTGAAATCGGAGTTAAATTACGGCCACCCTTCATATAACGGTAAATTTCAGAAATGCTTGAAACTTTTATATTTCGAAATTTAACGACGCTAATTTACTCAAAATTGATACTAACAACAATCCCTTGAAAATAAGTAACATTTTTTGGAATTATGGAAAATAGGCGTGCTCCGCCCATGCACACTATATAAGTTTATCTCATAATGTCTAACGGAACGTTCTATCGAAGATGTTTAAAATATGGATAAAACCATCCCTGCTTACCATGTTGGAAAGGTAGTTTTCGAAAAGGTGAAAAATATATATTTAAAACTTGCGCCGGGTATTTAATGTTCAGCTCCGCCCGAACCTAGAGTTTCTTACTTGCTTACTCCTACAAAGAGAATATTTGGCCTACGGCTATGGAAGTTGTGCACTTCAACTTTGTAGACTACTTTATTATTAATTTCATTATTAATTGCATTTAAATATATGTTTGTATAACCGTATGCCATTACTTAATATCGATATACATACATACATAAATGAACTGCCGCTTTATATATGTATGTATGTGTGTAAGATGTTGCGTCTCGCACATCCGGTGAGTTTTCTTAAATATTCTTTTTGATGGATATTGACTCATAAGAATGAATACTAGGGCTGATGGCTTTCAGTTTTGTCTTGACCGAGTTTTCTTTGTTAAAATAAATTTTATAATGAATTATGCAGTTGCATACAAATATATGTATATGTATATGTATGTATCGCTGCTGTCTTCACAACGGACTATCGCGAAACTGTCAGAGGTATCAAACAGAGATTCGATTCTATGTATACTAATGGATCCAAGCTTGAAGAGGGGTAGGCGGCGGAATAGATCAGTTCGCCATGGACATTTTAACATACCTGAAGCTCGTTGAATCTGCGCCTTGTTCTCTACTGCTAATGAGTAGTAGAGAATGACGTATATTCTCTACCAGTAGAGAAATAATCGGTAGAGAAAAGTTACAGAAACGAGCTACTGGAAACGAGAAAGCGTACTATACTGCAGGAAAGGGCACTTCCGCTTGTTTTAGAAATATGTTTCCAATTTTAATGCTAAATGGGAAGAAAGTCGCAAACAAGGGATCATTGACGAAAACCAGGTTCACCATATTATTTTTGCTTTTCTTCACTAGTAAAAGAATAAAGCTGTAGAATTTAAAAAGAAAATAGCGGGACAAGCTTTTCACAAAACAGGGTTGCAAACATACACATAAATCGAGAAGAGTTACATTTGCCTTAAAAGTTTAAAGTGATGCATTTTTTTCGTACTTACAGGAAGAAATATTTTTTAATAGCTGCTGTTTTAATAGGTTCAGTTAACATTTCCTAAACAAATCTCTGAAAAGGGACAAAAGTTTCCCCTTTAGTCGCACAACGGCAACACTGAGAGTGGCACCATTTTGACACTTTTATTTTCCTATTTGACACATTTTGGCACTGTTTTATCCTCATTATGGCACTTCATATCTAAGTATAGTTGGCAGGCCTGGTTAGGAGTGAGTGCCCCACAACGACTTCTGCAGAAGCTGCTGTGATGAAGAATAACCTGAGACTATCAGGCCATTACTGTGCGAATGCCCTGCACTAGTTATGTCGACGGCAAACATTTTTGAGCAACGGATTGTTAAATCATCTAAGCGCAGCCGCAAAGTTCAACATACGGCACAAGCTCAGAAACAAATTTATTTCGTCAATCAATATGTCCAATAGAGTTTACTGTTTGTTGTACATAAAATCTGCAATGTTGAAATAAATTTGCTAATATGTATGTATTTAAAGTGAAATGAGGAAAACAATTTATTGAAGCAACTTAAACAGTTTTATATTTTTTACTAAGCTCTTAGAAACAACACATAGAGGCATATTCTTCTTAAGTATATACTCACACATATATATATGTACATATGTATGTTCGTTTGTACGTATTTACACTTATCGGCATATATACATAGATTCCATTGTATTGTTGTTTATGCGAAAAAATCACAAAACTAATCACTATTCACGTCATTTATCACCGATGTCATGCGATTAGGTCAAATTGTCATCTCACTTCGGCCTCTTTTAGTTTTCAGGCAAAATCACTTTGACTTAATCTTTACGCCTGCTGCCGCTTCAGTGTATTTAAACTGGTTGGGGAATTTTATTTGTATTCTATCACTAATTCAAATAATGGCAAATTTAATTTGTTTACAACGCTCCAGATGCATAATTTTGTTTGTATTTCGTAAACGTTTTATTTTTTTTGTTAATTGATGCATTCTAAATGATAATAATTTTCCAGTTCCTTATCGGCGAATGCAGTTTGAGTAGGTAATGATGCTGTAATTAATAACAGTTTTTATTTTTAATTGGCATACTTACATATATACATATGTGAATACTAAAACATATACATAATTTTACTTATGAATTTCTGTTGAATTTAAAATAGTGTATTGATACATTTGGCGGCCAAACAATTTACTACAAGAGCGTGCAATTGCTGGCTTATGCCGATGACATCGACATCATCGATAATAAAAACCACGAAGACTGTTCTGCCTTTCCCAGTTGAATAAGGCAGCAAAGCAAGTGGGTCTGGTGGGAAACGATGACAAGACGAAATATCTTCTGTCATCAAACAAAGTGTCAGCGTCTTGGCACTCACGTCACTGTGGACAGCTATAGTTTCGACAAAGAGGAACCACTATTAACACCGATAGTAACGTCAGCATCGAAATTCAACGCAGAATCACTCTTGTCAAGAAGTTCTATTTTGGACTGAGTAGGCATTCGGAAGCAAATTTCTCCCCCGACGTACGAAAACCACATGCCAAAGGCTCAGTTATGCATACTTGGCATTGCATGAGAGTTGTCACATAAGCAACCTGTTAAATGAGCTTGGCGCGTAAGCAGTTACCGAAAGCACAGCATTAATTATGTAGAAGTCTGTTGATTTCGTGTTCCTGTACACGTTAAAGGTGAAAATTTTGTAGAAAGCCCGTTTTCTTGTCTTCAAAACAACGTTAAGATGAAGTCTCTACGATGAGTAGATCCCGAGATATATCGATTTGAAGAAGTACATGAATGGTTAGCATCACGAAAAAATTCGAAATGTGAAAGATCATATCTCCGAAGAAAAAACGAAAAAAAACATTCCTCGAATACGTGTTAGCTTATTTCATCTTAAGCGAATCGGAGACATGACGTCACTTTTTTTTACGATAACCGTACGACTTGTATATGTACATGAGTATACACATATATGTACATTTGTTGTGGCATACTAACATTACTACACAAACATGATCTCTTATTTTTTATTTCCATAGTTTTTAGTTTATTCAGTTTGTAATTAGCTTTGTAAACTGATATAAAATCAAGACTTTTATATTTCTTTGCTTAAAAACACAAATTTATTTTAATTTCTAGTATTCGCACTAAAGCAAGACTACAAAACTAGTTTGTTAGCATATTTTAATTAATGGTAATAATATCCCGAAATCCCGGGATTCACAAAATGGTCCGGGATTGGATGCATTAGTATGTATGTAGCTTAGGACTACATGTCGTATGAGTGACATTTTATTTGTGCGCACATGGCAGTCGGACATGAATCGTTTAAATTAGGGATTTCGGAAAAATATCGATGTTTTGCATCGATGCGGAGTTTGACCTACAAATTTTTTAGAAAAACTTGTAATTGCATCATCCCCTAAATTTTCTCCATATAAAATTAAATTATGTTATTTTTTTATTTCAAGAAAAAGTTTATTAATAATAAGAATTATAAAGAATATTTGTTTTTGAGACTTAGAAAATCGTCATATTTCAGACTCTAATATACCTAATAACTTGGGCTCATATTGGCTTGCCCCTCTAAGAAGGGAAATATGCTATATTCTGACTTTTTTTGAGCTTGTAATGGGGTATACAAGTCAAAATTCGAGGAGAAAAGTCCTAAAAGTTAAAAAAATTTCAAATTTTTCCATTTTTCGGTGACAACTAATAATAATAATAATAGATTGGCTCTTACACATATGTTAGTGTTTGGCCGAGCTTCTCCTCCGGTTTGTGTGTGTGATCGAATATGGAAAAAAAATTTGGTAGATTTCCAAAACATATGGTATATTTCCAAAAAAATATGGTAATTTCCAAAAAATGTGGTATATTTCCGAAAAATGTGGTAGATATCAGGATTTGTATCAAACTTTGTACAAAAATTAAAAAAAATCTGCAAGGTTTCACCTAAATNTGTGTGATCGAATCTGGAAAAAAATTTGGTAGATTTCCAAAACATGTGGTATATTTCCAAAAAAATGTGGTAATTTCCAAAAAATGTGGTATATTTCCGAAAAATGTGGTAGATCTCAGGATTTGTATCAAACTTTGTACAAAAATTAAAAAAATTCTGCAAGGTTTCACCTAAATTGCAAACATTTTAATAAGAATCTAAAGCAAAATTAATTTTAGTATAATAAATTGCAAGATTGAAGTTGCTAAAAATTGCGTTGAGTTTTGGCATTTTTTTTTTCGTTGACAGTGTAAAGCAGCTCCTTCCATATCAAGATATTTTTCAAACATATTTTGAAAGATTTCTGCAACCTTGCGGAGTGCTGCCAGCTTTTCTTTTCATCACCTTGTGTGGTACATGTGGTAGATGTTCAAAAAAGTAGCAGATCTACCACAATATGGTAGGAGTCCGATCACTAGTTGGTAGGATGGTAGGACGCTTAAAATATTGGTAGGTTTCTTTGCTCATAAAACAGAAAACATCTCGTTGTCAGTACAGTGAGTAGGCTTACGAAATTGGGACAATATCAGTTTTATCTTAGATGGGTCCATCTGTTCGCAATTATATCAAATACCTTTAAAAAAAACTCTTTTATTACTGGTATAGGCAGAATTTTACCAATTACCCTACGCACTTCTCTGAACTGCTATAAGCTATAAAAAGCTTTATCCAATACGTATCTAAAGGGATAATATCAAGTGATTGCATTAATGGATGTAAAGGCAGGTTGTTAAATCGGATCTTTTTCTTTGAAATGCAGTTGCGAATCGATAATAGTTCCTACAATGACTAGGTTGTTAAATTATTTTAAGTGAAACTAGCAGAGCGATTCAAATGCATATTAAGTACATAGCAAATGTACGTGTTTACAAAATCTGTTAATTTTTAACATATACGAAAATTAAAAGGACATTTGGCAGGCCTAAGCTTATGTATATATATATACTTCATAACATATCTATGCAAAAGAGCGATTTATAAAAAATCTACGACGGAATTATATTTTCAGCCACGATGTTTCACATTTACTACGAAGACTTCATTAAAACCATGAAATATGCGAATTTTTTGAACTTTCTTCGGGTTTTCGCAATTTACTCGAAGTTTTGGTGGTACAGAAGTCGGATTCGAATTCAGTGGGTCGAAGTAAATGTCGGTAGGTGGATCTGCTTAAAATCACACACCATGTTTTTGTGTGCTATATGTATGTACATACATATATAATAGCTTTTATTCTGATCATTTTGTTTACCTGGAAATCTTATTTTAAGTATAAAAACCAGCACAAATAAATGTATTTAATGCTGTCAAAAGCCGTTTTCTTTATTAAAAGAGGTGGTAGGTTTTTGAACCACCTCTTGGTAGGAAAGTTTTTCAGTGGCAACCCTGATCACGAAACCAACCCGAAAAAATATTGACCACGTGGCTTTCTAGTTGATATGAGACTGTATCTAACCCAAAATAATGAAAAGAGGTAATATTAAATGGGCCTTTTTCATTGATAATAACGATATAAAAATCACTTCAAAATCAATTCGAGCTACTTATTTGCCTGTATGTGTGAACATCAACAAACGCAGCATAAGACATTAATATAAAACAATATTATTAAATACACACTTTGTGTCTACATATGTATGTATATTTATGTATATGCCGGCAGCCGCCGTAGCCGAATGATAGGAATTGTGCAGCACTCCACGGTAGGACCCGGGTTGTAACCCTAATCACATTGAAGCAGAAGCTCCGCCAAACATTTTGTCAAATGTATAACCGCCAAAGGTTTACTTTGTTTTTTTTTTTTTTAATGTATGGCACAGCATGACCCATTTAAACATTTTGCTATCATATCAGCTCGTTACTTCCAATATCATTTTATGGTGTTTATTGTTACTGGCCACTTCAGCTAAACCAAAATCGTCCAATAAAGCACTTGATTTGCCATCAATAAATATTTGTCTGTCTTTAAAAAGCCAGCGTGTACCACAAGGGATATTTCATAGCAGTTTATCACAGATTATTACATACATACAATCTAAATTACATATACACATACATACATACGTACATACATATATGTATGTATATGTACATATTACATCGATGTCCACGAACCTTCGATAAAACCAGTATAAACAACTAAATCAATTACAGCTACTGTTTAATAGATTAAACAAGTACAAACATAGTTCATAAGCAAGTGCATAAACAAATTTTTATCACTATACATAAATATTTATTTTCACATTATTAATGGATCACCTAGTCTGCAAATATGTACATGTGTATATACATATGTACATACATCAATACATCAGTTTATCAGCGGCGCGTAAATTTAATAACAAGTCTGCGGTGCTTAAAATAGCACTTGGAGTGGCTATTTATGGATCTCTCAACATACATACATACATACATATAAGCAGTTGACGCCTATGCATACAAACATATTTACATCTATATCATGATCCTTTTTTTATTTATTTTATTAAGACGTCTCACAATATTATCGTCCATATATTTAGTAAATACCACAAAGAGTTCAACGCTTAAGCCAGTTAAGCAGGAAAAGCACGAGCCTAATTCTTATTTTTGCTGTGAGTCATGGTTGACAGCGTTACTTTGCGAGACAGTAAACAAAACGGAGTAATGTCTTCAACCATGTACCAGAAATAGACTCGTGCTTATACTTTTTGAGGCCAATGAATTTTAAAAGTGCCATGGAAAACAGTAACCGCTTATACGGAAAGTAACAGTCCCATCGCGGCGTGTGACAAGTGTAGATAGTACTCGTAATTAAAGAGTACAAATTTCGAGTTGAAAACATGGTAATTTTTATTTTTATTTACATAATACTGTAGTTATTTTGATTTATTTGCACTCGGGCGTGTTACTTTTGCATGTTCTTATTTAAAAATAATATATATATGTATATATACATATACTAATGCATATGAAATTGCTTATTAGCGCATATGTACATATATTTATGCATACAATCTTTTATTAATCAGCCAATAAAAACCACAGAGATGTACGCTTGGCCAGCCTATTGGAGGCTTTCTCTATTCTAGTTGGTAAATTTTGTATTGTAATCGCTTTGCTTTCAATTGTGCGCCCTACACTATAATTTGACGGCAGGATAAAGAAAATAATATTTTAATTTTATTACGGTTGTCATTTTGATTTTGTTTTTTGTTAGTATGTAATACCATAAGTAATAATAAAAAACTTTAGCTATGGTCTTGTTAGAAATACTCTACGACTTAGTACTGTCATTGGAACAATTTACCAACTTTGAAGGTTGAGATGTACCTATAAATATCTATGAGATTTTCGAGATCCAAGATTTCAACAAAACCTTTTTAAATTTTGCCTTCCGGTCATATACATATGTAGTACTTCTATATTGCTAGTAAATTCAAAGTACATTCCCCAACAGCAGAGTGTCGATATATTCAAAAAAGAAAGAGAGATCCGATAAGAGAATGTACTCAAACTGACATTTTTACTTTTCAAAACCCAGGAGCGGTTTAACAAATTCTTATTGAAAAATAATTTACATGAAATATTAACAAAAAATACAATATTTGTATATATGTATGAGAAACACTTCAGCCGCTGTGGTGGCAGAGGATAAAGGTACCAGTTACTAAAGGACTTGGCATCAGTTGGCGCCAATAAGCCCAGAACAGAAACAAACGATTCGGCCAACTATCATATGCCACACAGCTTCATGTGTAAATAAGTTTTGTCTTATGGCGATTTCTTTTCTACAAAAACTGTTGCCTTTTCAATGCCCTCTC